TATATTGTAGATTTTGCCAATGAGGAGGCCCATCAAATTACCTGCGATCAGACCACCCAGATCTCCGACTACGCCGATGGACGGTCTTCCTCTGGAACCGAACGATTTGACAATGACGTAGATCAGAGCATCGTACTCGAGATGCATAAATACCTTGGACGCGACAACCACAATACAGGACTAGCGCGGGATGGCACCCTAGTAACGTGACAAGTCACTTAACGATTTTAACACAGATCGCTGTTTACTGAAGAAGGGAACTCCTGTGTTTGTATTGCCGTAGTGTTGTAGATAACGCAGTAATTGGAAAACAATGGACCCAACTCGTCGATTACGTTTGTGGTAAACTAAGGTAAAGGAGTTTTCCCAAAGAATTTAATAGACAACTACATTTTATTCAAAATTTTGCAATAGTAAGAAACTGAACGCTCCGCTAATTGGCAGTCTGATTAGAGCACCTTTAGGTATATTCATAGCCGGCGATTCAGTGCTCCCTTAGCTGACGCCCCGATGATCGCGACAAGCTTGCTAAACGGTAGGCGCGCCCCTAAAGTACGACAGCCCCAGGGTTTCAGTTCCAATCAGTCACGGTCACGCTTGCGCCCGACAACCTTCTTTGACGTCCAGTCGACTCAACCCTTCGTTGCATTTTCCAATCACGTCAGGGACACCAATACGTTGCGCTCAAGAACTTAAGATCCACTTTAATAACGCACACTGTCTGCCGCGTCGTCTAATAGAAGTAAATCGGCTATGAGGAAAAATTTATTCTTTAAACAGGGCGTGTTCACGAAATAGTTATTCGTTTGTATGGCTAAACAATGCGTCGATTATGTGAGCAACGTTGTCTCCTTTACGCATTATTGTGCGCCAGCTGACCTGTTTTGCGCCAGGATACTCGGCGTTTGGCTGAACCAATCCTGCGCTAAACCCCATTGACACCCATGCTCCCAGTGACAGAAACGTACACAAGTGCGTGAACAAGACAAATCTGAACATACGCCACCACGGATGTCATTTTCTTGATCTTCACAGCGCATCAGTCATCATGCAAAACCGGTAGCACTGAAATTACAAACAGATGGTTATTAGCATCGATCGGGCCGTCAGAATATACCATTCAACATTAGATTATGACTGGGGCGGTTAAAAATCATCATTGACATATTTTCTTCGCACAGCAATAGGGCAACTTACCAGAGCCGGAGAGAGCCATTGTGATCATGCAAAACCAAGGGTACTGAAATTACAGAACGGTTATTATCATCGACTGGGTCGTCAGAATATACCATTCAACACTAGATAACGAATTACGACTTAAAACCCATCATGAACATACCTTCTTTATACAGCCATAGGGCATCATGCCAGAGCCTGAGAGAGCCATTGTGATCGTGCAAAACCAGGGACACTGAAATTACAGAATAGTTATTAGCATCGATTGGGTCGTCAGAATATACCATTCAACATTAGATTATG